TATATGTGAACAACACACACACTTTTGCATCATGGATATGTGTGTGTGTATGTATGTATATACATAAAATTCACAACGATAGTTCCAATTCTAATCCAATATTTACTCTCACATTCCCTTTTATTTGTACTTCTCCAACAGTGAGAAACCTGGATTCTGTATCTTCAAGATATTAGACAGCATTTGGAAGAATAAGCTTAATTGGCTAAGGCTACAGTATAGGTAAATATAAAGAAAGTGCCTGAAGAGGAACTAACTGTGCAGATGAAAGCCAGGAGAGCAATGTCTTTCTGGGGGACTTTTGGAGGTTGTGGGGTTAATGAATGTTCATTATAACCACCAGGAAGTGATAAAAGCCCATAATGGTTTATGTTATTGCCTGAATGGGATTATTTTAACGAAGTCAAGAAGTAAGGTATGAATATTGAGTTTGTAAGTATATCTTACTCAGCCTCAGATTTTTATTCTGCACCCTCACCAAATTTAGTTTTACTTGTAATTCACCAAAGGTCTAATCAATCAGCATCCTCAAAAATTGTAAAATCTTCCATAAAAAAGTTACACAACTCCCCAGTTTGAAATTTGGGGATGCTTGGGGTGCTACTCTATCCTTTTGGATTAATAAACTCTAGCAAAATCTGTGAGTTTGGAGAACTTGTGTTTAGTATTTTCTTTCTGTTTCTTCTTTCAAACAAATGTGCTGTATATCGCTCCCCTACCCACTTCTCTGCATTTTTAAAACAAGTATACTTTGCAAAACCATGGTTCAAAGTGTTGCAGATGAAAGTGTTCCCTCTGTCCATATTTAATCTTGGCAAAAATGTTTAGTAGTGCATGATATCATAACATAAGAGCATCTATGTACAAACATATACAATTTTATTGATATCTCTACAGACTACAAGAATTTTTAGTCACAATTGCTGAGTGCAACAGAAAAATAGTAATTTGTCATTTTCTGAAAAGATGCAAAAATTCTGAAGATGAAAGAAAGATACATCAATGATGTCATCTGTTTCTTATTTCCTAGAATAAAACATCACATAATTACTAAAAATTATAGGTTATTAGAGATTTTGATTCTGTGTACACTTGTCTATGACCACCACCTAGTTTATTTTCTGGCTTTGCAGTTGAGAAGCACAGGCCAATACCAGAGGGGAGCAGTAAGAGAGGAGAGAACTCTCACGTTTTCTCATTGAGGGTTATTGCCTTGGATAAGCAGACTCTCCCTTTTTCAAGGTGAAAACAGTCTCTGAGGGCACTGGAGGCCAGATCGTGAGTTACAGACATTCTTCTCCCTTTAAACACATGTCCAATAACTAAGAAAAAAATATAAGTGGCCCTGGGAGCTAAGACAACAATCAAAAAGGAACTGCTATTCTTCTTTCTTGCTAAGATCAAGTCCAGTAAAATATACTATAGCAGAACAGGTACCTAGTACCCATGTCTCCTCCAAATGAAGAATGAAAAATAAATTTGGGCCTGATTTAATAAATGATTGTTTTAATTTCCACTATCCAACTACTAAGAATTAGTTTTCCACTTAGCTTTACATGCTGTTGAATTTCTTATATTTCTTCTGGTGTCTTGTGATGTCACATGTATAAGACAATCAAAACCTAGATGTTTGAATAGGAATAATGGCCAAGTCACATGGGAGAAAATCACAAAGACAGAATTATTAAAAGTCAATGGGGCATTGCCTGGTCAGAAATTTGCACAGAACCTTTGTTTTGGGTTACAACACAATAATTCTCAATCCAGACAACACTGTATCTTTGCATCTTGCCTTCCATGACTCCTCAGAGGTGGGGCTTGGATACCAGCCGAGGTAGACAAATGTGTCTTCCCTAATCGACCATAAAGCTGTGTTTGTCAGCCCTGGCTGACACTGGAACCACATTGGGGGCTTTCAAAAATAACAATGTTCGGCTCCCACTCCAAGAGATTTTGATATAATTGGAATTGTAAAAGCTCCTTAGGTGATTCTCATGTACAGCCAAGGTTGAGAATCAGTTCCCTACATAACTATATAAATAAAAGCGGCCATCTGTGCCTCTAGTTTCTCATCAAAACCTCTTCCACTTAACTCTGGCTCTCATGTCCCTCCCCACCCCAATCCTCTTGCACCAAATTGGCACTTCCTCTTACTTTGCAAAGTCAGACCTTATCTTCTGCATTTTATCCCTTTAGGGCTATGTTATACGCAATTATGTACACTAAACTTGCTACACAACAACCATACTCCCTGTAATGGTGCCATCCAGAATACATGACTTACTGGCAAGTATCTCTGGCACCTGGAGCAGTGTGTATATGAAATAGTATGTAGTCAGTAATGGGGTTGGTGTTACAGAAGACAAAGATGAGGAAGCTGTGAAGGCTACCACTTTTCTCCTGATGCAAAGAGCAAACCCTGATAGAAATGTCTGAGTCCTTTTGGCATTGCCTCTCAAAGAAAGTAGTCAAGTTATAATGTCTTTCATAGGGTCAGACTGTAATCACATTCTCCTGGGTTGTCCCAATGATCCTAAACCAAGGAGAGGATTTTTAGCTTACTTTTCTAGACCTTTTTCATTTTTCCCTTCTGCCAAACATTTTATAACCAAGTATTTAAAAGAGCTCATTTTCATCTTCTTCAACCAACCTTGGGCATAATCTCTCTCTCTCTTTCTTTCTCTAAGCCCTGGAGAACCCTTAATGCCAATAACAGATAGATGGTACATTTAAAATTGGACACATAGGTCACATAAAAAGGGACTCCAACAATAAACTTTTTCCTTTTATAATCCCTTAAGATCTTTGAGGAATAGAAACCTAGATTCTGATTTATTAACTTGAGAATCACTCCAAGGCTATATAAAAGATTTGAAAAATTGTGTTTATGACTAAATTATCAGGAAACATCTCTCTCAGTTCTGTCACTATCCTTCCAAAGTTAGATGATGGCCCCTATGGTGATTGGGGCACTAAGTCTGAGTCTTAAGTGTAGGAAGCAAAGTTGTAAGGGATTAAAATAAATGATAAATCAATCATCCTTCCCTCCAAACACCAAGGTTAATGGATGATTTCATGGTAGGGATTATTAGATTCAAGAAAACAAATACTTCTAGCTTCTTATTGGTGAATAGAGCACAAAGACCCATTTTCCCCTGGGACACTAAGAAGGGTTTATCTCCTGAGGGAGTCATAGGGAGATAAAGTCGACTTGGAGACTGTAGCTTGCAAGCTTATCTTCTGAAGCCACCATAGTAGATATAATGTAATTTTGATGACGAAGACTCAGAGTTATTTTCTCTATCATTGTCCAAGTTACTAGGAGTATTTTTCTTATGTTCCAAGATAGAGGCAAGACATTTAAACAGTGGAGAAGAGACATGTAAAGAATTACATGGATCAACAGTACTCATTTTCCAAAGACGATGATGATAAGATGGTGGTGGTGGTTGAAATGGTGTGTGTGCATGCACATGCATGCTAAGGTCAGTGCAACAGAACAGAAAAGTTCAAAGAGAAAAATCACATCCACATCAGATTCTTGTTATTGCTGTCTCTTTGAATTATAAAAATAATTCTGATACAGTAAAACCTCATTAATTTGTATTCCACTAATCAGGAGTTGGGGAGATAAAGTATACATTTTCTGACTCTATCATCTTTTCTCAAAATTACTGAGAACATTTAAAGGAATTGCCACTTCAAAAAAATAGACTAAGAATTAAAAAATCTAAAAAAACAAACAAATACTATTTGGGGCTACTAAAATAACCTGGATTTCAGGAAAAATGGTGAATTCTTAGGAAACACAAATGCAAATCTGGTAAGACCTGGAATAATCAAAATTCATTAAGTCAAACCCATTAATTTTTTTTAAAAAATTCTTTTTGAAAGAACAACATATTACAGGGTGGGTCCTAGAACCTGCATATATTCATTTTCTATGACTTTTAATTTCCAGAATCATGTTAAATAATGATAGCAGGTGTCTTTATTTATTTATTTGCCTCTAGAGCCTCGCTGTTATGACAGATAACTTTTATCATATTAAGGGTATGCCTTATTTCACTTTGAAAAGAGTTTTTAATAAGGAAAAGGTGTTCGGTATCTACTGACATAATTTGTGGCTTATATCATTTAGCCTAAAGAGTGACAAAATTATTCATTTTGTATCATTAAATTCTCTCTGTATTTCTGTTGTCTATAATGGTGACTAAGGCCAACATAGCAAAAATACCACATTTTATAAAGATTTTCAATAATAAGTATTGAACCAAAAAGTATTTACTAATGAAAGCCCTTGTTAATCAGAAATGTAGTAAATCAGAATCTCTTTCCCAAAACATTAACTGAGGTTTTACTGAATCATATTAAAGAGAATGACCAGTTTGGTCTGTGAGTGTCAGGCTGCAAGAGCACCTTTGGATTGAAGACACCACTGGGCTTGAACAGTAATATACTGTGTAATTGGCAGACAAAGATACAAATGGAGCATTAAAAACATATCCCTTTAGAAACTGAAACCAGAGTGTGTGAAATCAGTTCTCAAAGCTAACTGCACTGTTCCTGTAGTCTAGTTTCCCCCAACTTATCATTAACTCCCCTGCAGAGCACAAGCCAGGCTGAAAAAATGCTTTGAGGTGACCCAACCCTGCACGGTTTATGACTAAAACTAGCCAATTGTTCTGAAAGTGACAAACGGAAATTACTGTGTGAGGAATGACTTACTATCCTGGCAATACTCGATTATGACTGATAACGGTGATGATGTAAAATATTATGGAAAGACAAACATTAATCAGACTCCTGCCATAAGAATTCAATAATGTCCTAGTATAATGAAAGTTATAGATGAGAAGAAAACTCTGGTTTTCTTTTCTTTTTCAGTTGGGTATGGTAAATGTACCTGAAATACACTGATATCTTCTAATGCAGATTTTTTAAATTGTCAGGTGTGGCCCAATTTATAAAAATAGTTTGCCATAAATCTTTTTTTCTTCTGTCACAACATGCTTTTTTTCTTTTCCTCTTAGGATGTTAATTTATCATGCAAAGATTTTTTTTTTCATTAAGTGCATTAATGCTTTTGTTTGTACAGGATTTTTTCAAATCAGAAGGACTCCCCGTAGTTCCTAAATGTAAATCCTTAGCAAATGACAGGCCAAGATGATAGCTCCATTCCACGTTGGGAAAAGACAAACTCAGCCGTGTCTTGGGATTTTAACCAGGGTTCCCGCCTTTGGGTTGTACAGTGTCTAATAAATTTCCCTTATGATAACTTCAGATGTACTGTAATGGAACATTTTGTAGAAGAAACTGGCTTCTAGCAAGTTGAATAGTGATGCTGGGAATAAATTTGGTTTCCCTGAATAATGGTTTCTCAAAGCAGTCAGAGCTTCTTTAGAAGTTTAGAATTGGTACCATTTCTTATCCTTATATTTCAGCATTAACTGCAAAGAAAAAATAGTCACAATAAAATGTTTTTAAAAATCTTTAAAAGTACTAGCCAAAGCAAGCCCATATTGAGCCAATCATGCATATCTAAATCTTAAATTTATAAAACTTCCTTTACTTTTTGAAATAAAGTACATATGAAAAGGTTTTTTAAAAATAACGAAGCTGAAAAGACTCAGCTGATTTTTAACAATTAAAGCAAAAAGTAGTGTGTGGATTCCAGCTTCTAGTGCCCCTCACACCTTTTTTGGGTGAGGGGGGAGGATCATATAATGTATCTAAGCACCTTTTTAGTAGCAGATGCACAATATAGACCCAATGTATCAGAACCAATGAATAATTTTCTTTTAAATTATCTCCTAAGGTAAAGTAGTATTAATATAGTATTTAAAAGCATTTCTCTCCCAAATACTGGGGGAATTATGACACTTATAACGAGATCCAGGTTACCCTGGTTCTCACACAGGATTACTTACAGTGACATCTCTGCGCTTTCTTGTGCAGGGCCCCAGTGTTTCAAGTTATTATTGTATGAAGACGCTATATTAAGCCGTTTACCTCATGTGCATGTTTGGAAAATGCTTCCGCGCTGGTCATCATGCCTGCAGTCTTCTCTTCCAGCTCTCCTAGCCTCTGTCCTCTCTCATCAAGTGCGATCCGAGCGCGCGTCAGCTCTCCCATCACCCCTCCGGCAGCACCTTTCATCCCTTCTATACCACCTGGTCCGGGAATGTGCTGGGCCAAGCTGCGAGATGCTCTTCCCGCTGAAGCTTCCCCAACTGGGGATTCAAGCCATAGCAATTTAAGACATATTGTCAGTAATTCAAATAATTAGAATCAAGTTTATCACCAAAGTACTTACCTTAAATTCTAGTGTCATAATTCTCATTGAGAGAGAGACATATTTGTTCTTATTGTAGATGGGTATTTGGAGATGTTACCTTTTACCCACGAAAATATCTATGAAAGAGTCTGAGACTGTGAGGTAACCATATTGTTACTGCCTGCCTTTGTATGTGTGTGGATTCCATGCAATATGGCATCATTGCATTTCTTGACATTGCTGAATTGGGATGCTCACAATATATGTGATTTCATATTTAACCCATATCAGGGTCTGTTCCAATCTTATGTCTGTTCATTTGTTTAAATTTCTGCCTGTCTTCATTCCTACCATCTCTCTTCTGTTGCTATCATCCTCTGTAGGCGTCAGTTGTTGTTACTGTTTAAAGATGTGTGTGGGAGGAAATAAATACTAAAGAACAGGGTATGCATGATGGACATTAGTATACATGTGTTGAAATTTTGTTACTTTATAAAAGAATAAAAATTTCCCTATCATTTACAAAGTTCAGTTTAATTTTAATGATTTTTTTTTGGAAGTTTTTATTGAAAGACAGCTATCTTGGTAGAAATTTAATGAACATTCTTAAGGATGTAATGTTAGGAGTAATATCAAAAGGTATTTTTTTAAATTAGAGCCTTATTGAGATATAATTCACATACTTTATATACATAAAGTGTACAATTCAGTGGTTTTAGTATGCTGACAGAGTTACGCAACTATCACCACTATCTAATTTTAAAACATTTTCATTACTCCAAAAAGAAACTCTGTGCCCATTAGCAGTCACTCCCCCTCCCTCCTTGCCCCAGTGCTTGGCAACCACTAATCTACCTTCTGTCTCTATGGATTTGCCTATTCTGGACATTTCTTATAAATGGAATCATACAATACGTGGCCTTTTTTCCTTCTTTAATTTAGTATGATGTCTTCAAGTTTCATCCCTGTTGTAGCATGTATCAAACTTCATTTCTTTTTATGGCTGAATAGTATTCCATCATATGGAGGCACCTAGATCTTTTGCTTGGTGAAAAGTTCAAGAGAAAGGAGTTCTGATCTTCAAGACCAAATAGGGCTGAGATATTCTGGGAAATACATTCTTTCTGAAAATGTTCCCTAGTATCTTTCTACTCCTTTTCGATTATTCATCAGAGTTCCACTGGAAGAATTTTAAAGTAATTTATTCTGTAGTGTTGATAAACCTTGTGTTCTGAATAAAGAATCTGTTTCCCAGCAGTGATTAAAGGCAGGCAGATTCACAAACATTTTTTCCAGAATTTAGTAATTGATTATCTTCACCCTGCCTTGCAGGTATGATCTACTTGCAAATGATGTATTTATTAGCTTACTCATTATTTGTATGAATTGCATATACTGTTTTTGTTAAACTATTTCCTAATATGAAGTAACCGATTTTATTCATGTTTGGTGAAAAAATAATTTTCATGGTATAGAAGCAAAAAACCTGGTCTGGAATTTGAGACCACATATTACATTAAGTTACACACACACACACACAGAAACAAGTCTACTATTCAGTGGTACAGTTTCAAAATCAGGAGTTTACTCACAGAGCTCTTCTCTGTCAAATGTTTGTCCACTTCCACCAAAGAGTCCCTTGAGAAAGCCTCTGTTTTGAGCTTCTGGTGTCTCAATGGGAATAAACAAATCTCCTAGCATGTCCTGTATCAAATTCAAACAAAAAAGCATTAGAGTAACTAAAAATAAAGTGATAGAAAAAAGATAACCCTGTAGTATGTTAAAGCACAGAATAAAAAGATAGCTTGGAGCTCCTGGGTGGCTCAGATGGTTAAGCGTCTGCCTTCAGATCAGGTCATGATCCCAGCATCCTGGGATGGAGCCCCGCATCGGGCTCCCTGCTCAGCGGGGAGCCTGCTTCTCCCTCTCCCTCTGCCTCTCTCCCTGCTCATGCTCTCTCTCTCTCTCTGTATCTCTGTGTCTCAAATGAATAAATAAAATCTTAAAAATAAATAAATAAATAAATAGATAGCCTGCTTTCCATATATTTTCCTGGCGATTTTTGCTTTGCTCCCAGTTTTATTTCTGGCATTTCTTCTCTACCTCCTTTTCGTTTCCTTCTCTAGTAACATCTGAAAATTTTCATTTTTCTGTCCTCTTCTTTTCTCCCCTTTACAGTTAGAAAACATGAGAAGCTAATATATTTACCTTAGGATTAATTTCTACCTGATCAATGACTCCCAATCTGGATTTAGGATCCTTTTTCAATTACCATAGCCTCTTTCTGTCCTAACCCCTTTCCTGAACCAAGCACGGACAACCCTATGAAGAAGGAAGCCTTTGGTAATATGTGGAGGACGTTTGGATTTATTTTTATATGAAGTACAAAACTAGGAAATGGTTCAAGACAAATGAGTCAAAATATGAGTCAAAAATGAGCCTAGCTCCTGCATAGTAAGATACAATTGTTTTCAATATTTGATGTGTTTTAGAATGACTGGAAAAATCCCTTGTTAGAAACACGGATGTTTAGGCTTTATTTCACACATACTGAATCAGAATCCATATAGATGTGCTCTGGTTATATTTTTAATGTGTTCTCCAGGTCTTTCTGAAGCACACCAAAATTTGAGAACCACTGGTGTGGAGGAAGGCACTTCAGCCAAAAGTCAGGAGATCTGTGACCTAATATCAGTTTGTCTATGAACCTGCAGCCTGACTTTCTTCATCCTCTTCCTCTCACCTCTACTCAACAGACCTGCAGTCTTCCTCCTGGATCCCTTCTCTTTGGAAATGGCAGCATCATCTACTTAGCCAGAAACCCAGGAATAATTATTAATTCCTTCTTTTCCCTCACTGCTACAACGACTAACCCTCCAATCCAACTGATTATACTTTATAGCAATTGAATCTGCTAACTTTTCTCCATTCTCACTGCTGGCTGCTTTAAGACATTGGTTTTTTTGGCCTTAATTATTTAAAAAAAGCCTCCTAATTGTTCTCCCTTATTCCTTGAAACAATACGCAACCAGAATCTTAGTTTTCATAAACAAATCTGTTAAACCTTTTTAATGACTTCCTGTTGCCCTTGGGATAAATGCCAGATTCCTTAGGCTCTTACCAGGTGCTCCCAGATCTGTTCTGGAAAAATTCTCCAGCACTATCCCTCCATCCTTTTCACTAACTCTTCACTTTGTTGGCAGTTTCCTGAACTCCTGGGGTTTTGCACACAACTATTCTGCCAGGAATATCATTTCCTTTTCCATTCCCAGCCATCCATTCCTATGGACAACTCTTACTCCTTACAACCCTTTTCTAACTAGCCCTCTCTTCTGTTCCAGCAACCCAGGGGCCCCTCTTCCATGTCTCTCCACCTCTGGCACAGCCACATATAGGCAGTCTCTTCCAGAGTGCTGTGGTTGTCTCTTTACTTACCTCCCTCCACACTAGCGGGTAGGGACTTGTATCTTGTTTTATCACTGTATTCTATAGCCTAGCCAAGTACCAGGCATATGGTAAAAACTCAGTATTTACTGAATAATAATAAGAAGAACATTATTATTTATTTTAAAAATATACTATGTTGGGCGCCTGGGTGGCTCAGTTCATTAAGCAACTGCTTTCGGCTCAGGTCATGATCCCGGAGTCCCGGGATCGAGTCCCACATCGGGCTCCCTGCTCGGCGGGGAGTCTGCTTCTCCCTCTGACCTTCCCCCCTCTCATGTGCTCGCTTTCTCTCATTCTCTCTCTCTCAAATAAATAAAATCTTTAAAATAAATAAATAAATAAATAAATAAATAAATAAATAAATAAAATAAAAAAATACTATGTTCCAGGCACTGTGCTCAGCGTTCTTACTTAATTCTCACAGCAGTGCTCTAAGACAGCGTATGGGTGGGTTAAGTAAAATGCCCAAAGTTATACAAGTGGGCAAAATACAACTGAAATAGTTCAGAGCTTATACTCTCAACCTCTAAACTAAAACTGGCTTTAGTTTTCTTTTTTGTAAAATAAGTGGGTTGAACCAATTAAATCTCTAAGATGCTCTTTTCAAATTTTGTAACTGCTTATCCAAGGTTAGATAGGCATTTATATTTATTCTATTTCAAGGCTCTGCTTACTGCTATGATAAAAAACAAATGCCCAATTCTAACCCACCAGAAATGTATTTATTTTGTATGGCTCTTAATCAAAATTAATATTTCTTCAAAAAAAAAGTCCATGAGCTCCCTGAATTGTATGCAAAATTTTTGTGTATATGTGCATATTCCCCACCTGGGAGGGAGAGAGTTTATAACCTTTTTTTTTTTAAGAGGGTTTATAATCTTACAGAGGATTCTCTGTAGGTAAAACAACAACAAAGAATAAAATGAACAAACAAAAAATCAACCATTAATATGTATGATCTTCACTTTCTCCCTCTCACTTCCCTTTTTCTTATTTTTTTCTGTGTATACCTAGATCCACACTAAACTTGACAGGGTCACAATGATGAACATATATTCAAAACATATTCTAGGGAAGGCATATTTATTGCCTGGCCCAATAATACTTTAGCTTTTAGATATCTCTCTAATTCTCTTTTTACAACCATGTCCAGTGTTTATTCATAAATGTGCCTGACCTACCTGAAGATTATCACACATTTCTTGGCTGTATGTTAACCGCTGAATTTCAGTAGGAGAGACGAGGTATAATGCCTGGCCTTCATTGGTAAAACAAAATGTCCGTGCTATCCTCATGTCTGTCAATGGCAAATAATTAACATCCAACACTGGGCGAAGACTAGGTAGGCTAAATGGAAAAAAGCAAATCCACATTTCATATTCAGGTTGTTAGAAGCTTTAATTTCTCTGTGTAAAATGTGCAGACCCTTACATAAAAAATTATTTTTATACCACTATTTTATGGTTGTTTCTTTTTATTCTCTTGAAGTCTCAATGGTAAAAAAACTAGACTTTCACATTAAATCATATATACACAAAAAATCATGGGCCCCATCCTTTATCTTAATCCACACAGATACTTAGCAGATATCCTTGGAGGCTGGGTTAAATGCAGTGGCCAGCAATTTCAGGATACTGTTTGCAGCATTTCACAGGTTCCTACAATATGGTTATAGTCTGTGGTTATGGCAGAAACACCATAGCTAGAAAGTGGCTGACTGCATACTTGGCCTACTATCTCCTTTTAAGGCAAAACTCCTGAGTCTGAGGAGGTTATGCACTGATAGACACATGGAATGGATCCAGTTCACTGTGCCTGGCAATGGAGTGGCTTTGCTCCCCATTCCTCTACTCCCTCTATACACAAGATATGAAAATTACCTATAACTTAGGTCACCTGCGCTGAAGGCATGATGAATAAATAAACATGGTTAAGGTTATAAGGGAATGAGAATAAGTTACAGATAATAGAATTTGCATAGCCAAATGAATACCACTCACCTCAAGTGTCTTACCAAATGGCTATAGTCTTATCCTAATGTTGTAGCCCATGATTTTGCCTATTCATTAGAATGTCCATTTGGACCTGAACAATTCGTCTCCCTTTCTTTTCTCAATAGAACTTAGTTTCCTCAAGATATTTTACAATCCTTAATACTGCTCAGAACTTGAGTTTTGAAGAGAGTATAAAGAATGTCCCTTTGGATACTTCCATGAGCCAGTTTTGCAAACTGCTGAAGAAAATTAATCTCATTGCTTTTAGATCACACCTCTAATGCCAAAAGGAGAAAAATAAACTTGTCATTAAATCTCAAGCTTTGAAATCATTCAACTGATTCTGATGTGTATAATGATTTTAAATTATCCCAGATCATAAAACCAGTACCTTGAAAAAAAAGTACTGACTTCTCTCTTATGAAAGTAGTTTGTAATTACAAGTTAAGCCTTAGAACTTTATCATATAGAATGGGACCTGAAATCTGTGCAGTTGGAATAAGCTTTCCATGAGGTTCTAGCAATATATTGTCCAATATGGTAGTCATTAGCCATATATGGCTATTGAGCAGTTGATATGTGTGTTGTGTGAACTGAGATGTTCTGTAAATGTAAATTATATACTGGATTTCAAAGACTTACATGTTATGGCATTTCAAGTAATTAAGATCTTTAGGATATGAGTCCAAAACAAACCTAGTTACACAGACTTCCATGATAGATTCAGTCAAATTAATGGGTGGCAGTGGGCGAGGGATTCTAATGGACTTTTCTGATAAACTACATTATTTATGTAGCATAATAAAAGTAAGCCAAGAAAACAAAAATGGTGTGATTACTTTAGGTAGGAAAAGGAAAACAGTAATTCAATTGCTAAAGACTAGGAACTAAGTGATTTTAGTATATGTGCTGCCAAAGTAAGCAAGGAACTACGTGATTTTAAAGCTGAAAAACAGATTTTTTTTCTGTGCAGGGGACACTTTATAAGGAAAAAGTTCACATAACTAGCAATGGTTCTCACTAAAAATGACTATCAGAGCCCAGTTTGAGAACTTATTTATAGATAAGCCTCTAGTATCCCTTTCTACTATTTTCTAGGTCTGGGTACATTAGCATATAAACAATCATTAGCTACCTGCCAACCATCAGAAAGGTAGGACTTGAGAAGAATGGACTCAGTATAGTTCATTTCTGATAGGATCTGGAAAGATCTAGGAAAATACTTAGCATGGGAAGATGATCAATTGGTAATGCCAATTCAAAGGATTCAGTTCTTCAAGCCACATATTATTCCCTAGCCACAACTAATATATTACTAAAATCATCCCAAAGTAATTTCCTTTCAAATATTTTTGAAATCCTCAGGAACACATGAAAATTTTCCACTAGGACATAATATTAAAGTAGCATTATCTTGTAAAGCAGCTTTTACAAAGAGCAGAGGAAGACAGAGATATCATCTTAACTCTCCTGTTGTTATGACTCCTGTTCTTTTTTTAAACTCTATTGTTTTTATTTCTCAAGAAATTTCCCTTCTCAAAATGTCAATGGTAGCACATATTTATTTAAATGGAAATTAATTTGCAGATATACCCAAAATCATTCGAGAAAACAAGACACACTAAAATTTTACAAAAATAGGGTAATCACTATCAAGCTAAAAATCTCAGTTGTGACAACAGTTTAATGTCTTTTAATTTAAAATAAAAATTTGGAGTGACTAAATGGGAGCTTAGGGGAGGGCAGGGTATGGGTGATACACATTTTTTTTTCCCCTCAAAACTAAGGCATTCTAGGAGTTAAGTCATCATTTTCAAACAAGACTGGAATGATTTTCATGACAAATACCGAAAAACAGTTTGAGAAAGAGAAACCAGATAAAAGAAAGAACCAGAAATATCTAAGAGAATGAGAAGACAATAAATGTTTTTATTTTTTCAAAACTTTAACTACTTTTCCTTGGGTTACAAATCTATTCATGTCTCCCCTATTTAAAGAAAATAAAACAGTAAAAACATTCTTGAAAACCTAGTTTTGCTCTTGAACTGCTTTCCTGTCTCTCATCTCTCTTTTTAACCACAAAATTTCCTGGAAGAATAATCTATACTAAGGATTGGCAAACTTTTATTAAAGTGCCAGATGGTAAATATTGTAGGCTTTGTAGGTCATAGGGTCTCTGTTACAACTACTCAACTTTGCCTTGTCTTGCAAAAGCAGCCAGACATTATGTAAGCAAATGGGTGTGGTTGTGTTCCAAAAAAACCTTTATTTATGGACATTGAAATTTGAACTTCATATAATTTTCACATATTATGAAATATTCTCTGATTTTTTTCAACATTTTAAAATATAAAATTCATTCTTAGCTTGCAGGCTGTACAGTATCAGATTAGAGGGAGGGCAGGATAGATATGGTCTGTGGGTGGTAAGTTTGTCAGCTCCCGATCTCTACCACTGCCTCTAGCTCCACTGAAAATTTAGTTTTTGCCTCCACCATGCTCCCAAGATTTGCCTTCTCAAGGATCACTAATACCCTGTTAGTTGCCAGGCCTAGTGTTTCTTCTTCTACCCAAATTCTTTGGCCTCTCTGCTATATCTGACTACCTCTTGACCATTGTCTTGGTGGTCTTCTATCTTTTGTTTGGATATTCTTCTACAGTTTCATGAAGTTATTCTCATCCTTTTCCTATGTCTCTGATGACTTCTCAATATCCTCTGCTGGATTTTGTTTCTTTTCTACTACATAAATGTAGAGATATCCTCAAGTTTTTGTTCCCAGATCAGTCTATTTCTCCTTTCTTTTTATACTGTCTTCTCTGATGATCTCATTCACTGCTGTAATTTTCACTAATGCATTTACATAGATGACTTCCAAAGCTGGATCTTCCATATTTTTCTAGGAGCCCAGACCTTAAATTGTTTGCCAAACTTCTGCAGGACGGCTTAAAAGCACCTCAAATTCAAGGCATTCATTCTCAAACTTCTCATTATCAGCTTTTCCAAATTCTCATAACTTTCCCATCTGCTAATGACATCACTGTTATTCAAGTTCATAAAAATTTTTTAACCTTTAAATTCTATTCTAATTTTGAGATTTAACGATCTCCATCACCTTCACAATCAGTTTTACATTCAGCAAGTTTCTCAATTATCCCTCACATCTGTTTCTACCTTGCTTTCTATATAACTAACATTTTAGTTCAGAAGACCATTTCAAGCTCTCCATATAATTTCTTAATGTATAGCTAGAGCAGGTTAGCTACTAGCTGATTAATATCAAACTCATTAGCCTGCCATTAAAGGTCCTCAATTATTTACTCCAATCTACTTTTTCAGTTTACCTTCCTCCCAACATCTCCTTTTTAATAACATATACCAACTATCTCATGACTTTGAATTCTGAGGACTTAGTTTATGTCTAGAAGGTTCAACTTGTGTATCTTATCTCCCCCAATTTAATAGTAACCTTTTTAAGGACTAGGACTATGTTTTTACTAATTTTTATATCCTTCACAGGCCTAGTATAATGCTTTACTGTCTCAGTGATTTTTGGAACCAGGTGAGTTGTTAAAACAAATGATAGTGACTTCTACACAGATTATGTTTATTATGTGTTTGTTGAACTCATAAAATCATTAGGTAATTAATTTTGTATCTAATGAATTTTATTTTAATTTATTAACAGTATAATGAAATCTCTCAGCTGATATCATATTATTATGGTTGTCAAAGGGCATAAACTTCCAGTTACAAGATTATTAAATTCTGGGGATCTAATGTACAACATGATGACTTATAGTTAACCATACTGTATTGTATACTTGAAGTTGCTAGAAGAGTAGATCTTAAAAGTTCTCACCACACACACAAAAGTGGTAACTGTGAGGTGATAGATGTGTTAACTAACATTATTATGGTAGTAATTCCACAATATATACATATATCAAATTATCATGTTGTACACCTTAAACTTACACAATGTTATATTTCAATTGTAGTGATAACTTTTAATATACTGTTCAGTGCTGGTCTCACTCTTTCCTAGACTTGCAACGTCAGGCAAATTTGAGCTTTAATTTATTAACATATGTAAAATGGAGGATGCAAATACTACTTTGTTTTCCTATGTCCTACAGAAATCATAAGGACCAAATTTAACTCTGTATGTAAAGTTCTTGTGTGGATTATAAAACATAGTAAAAGTAAGTTCATTTCTTTCCCTTAGAGTTTATTCATTTTTATATTTTATGCCTAGCATAATATCTGAGAGATAACATATGTTCAGTAAATGCTTGTGGATTAATGTGTGAATGACTAGAAAAATCACTCATTCTTTAGATTCCTTGACATCAATTAAAATATATATTTCATTCACAATGCAATGCATTTTTAGCAAAAGCAAAAAATAAAAAAATAAAAACCCCATAGTTTCCTCAAATTGTCAAATAATGAAACATTCACAAACAATGAAGCAATGATCTCAGGTTGCTTCTTGATTGCACATTACACATATACTTTTCAGAACTGTACCTTGGTCACACTGTTGTGATTACCAGATAATTTATAAAGAAGGCAAGTACCTCATTATCATGATATGCCCATTGGCACAAAAGCATGCCAAGCAGGCACTGTTACACATGACCACCACATCTGCTTGGAGTATAAAAGATGTCTCGGTGATGTTATGAACATAAAGACAAGTCTGAGAAGGCAGTGAGAAGACTTTGGCTTGTTTTTCTGAGCAGATTATTGTATACTGATGATCTCCTATTTCTTGGGATGGAGAAGGGCAGTTCATGACCAGTTTCCTTCTCCAAGATTTTTCATTTTCATCTACGTTGTTTGGATCCCTCCAAACTTCATATGGCGGTTGCATTAATCCGCCATTTCGGTCCATACAGGAGAATGTTAGCACAGCTCCTTTCAGTGAGAGGAATGTACCTATAAAAACAATTTCATATCACTGGCATGTGAAATTCTTTCTAAAACAGTTGTTATTCATTTATGGGCAGTAAATGTTTTATACTGATAATTTACATCTATAGTGTCATAATATTGCAGTAATATACATGTATCAGTAGATTTGTGAGTTCATCATTTGCAATTTCTTGGCATCATAGAATGTTAGGTCTAAAAGGGGCCTAAGACATCAACTTGTCAAATCCTTTCATTTTATTAATGAGAAAATGGAGACCCAGAAAAGTGATGAGACTTGGGTCATGTCACATGGCAAGTTAGTGGTTGAGCCTGGACTAGAACTCAGGTTTCCTAATTTCTAATCCAGTATTCTTTTACCATACTATATAGACCCCCTTAACATCCTTTTTTAAAAAGCAAGTTTTAGAAAATTTATAATTTTCACTTATTGAAAGAAGTTCAACTGAAAAAAAATCATACCATCTGATTCCATTTCCTTATTTCTTAGTCTCATTTACTAGAAAATGGTTTTTTTTTTCTTCTGAAATTGAACACCTAGAATAAATTTCATGAAATTTTAACATATAGAGTTCATGCTTGCAATTTTGGTTTTATTAAAAAGTCCTTTGGCTCTTAGGCAGGCTTATGCATCTTTATACAGAAAAGAAGTTTACTCACCTGGATTCTCCAAGTTTGAATATCCATGCCCAATTATTACCTATGGGTGTTTTGCCAGTCCCAGAGGACAGGATACTATAAAGCTTAAGAGGTAACCTGTGATAGATTGATCTTTGGACATTATCAGACTGTCCTTAAGCAATGCCCCAGCAGTCTTTTTCTTCCTTTGTCCTCTGACATCATGCAGAGAGAGTAAGGGGGTTAACCCAGGCTGATATGGCTCAAGAGTGTACATACAACAGACACTTGAAAAAGAATGATAAATAAAAATACATTCCATTTAGAAAGTACTCTATAATTTAACATACTTAAAATTTATCAAATTTAAAATAACATGTTTAGGTGATTTAACATCCCAGTTGTGTTTTAAAATCCACTTCAAAACTAAGAAGACTGTAAATGTCCTACAAGGGTAACTGAAGAAAATAGGAGAGCAGGGTTTAGGCGCTTCAGTGTGAGGGTCAAGGAATAAAAGAACAGTTGTCCCAGTGTCCCATGGGGAAAAAAGATAATGCCAAAAGCATTAGACTTTTACTTGGTATGAGGAAGATTTTGAGAATAGGGTGTTGTAATCTAATTTTCACTTAACAGAATCACTCTTCCTGCTGGGCATATTCTAAAGGGAATCAAGGTTGAACAAAGGGAGAACAGTTAATAGGTTAGTACGTTAAATCAAGGCAAGAAATAGATAGAGGTTTCCTCCAATCAGGTGGTAACAACAGAGATGGTGAGCAGTGATCAGAATCTGAGGATACTATAAAGGTCAAACCAATAGAATTTGCTAATAAACTGGATTTAGAGTGTGAAAGAAACATAGTGGTCTAGGATGATTCTAATGTTTCTGACCTGAGAAACTGGAAGGATGGAATTGCCATTAACAGATGTGGGAAAGAATATGGGGGAAAGGAAAAGAATACCAGGAACTCAGTTTTGGATATGTTAAGTTTGAGACGCTTATTAGACATCCAAGTGGATGTTAAGTAACTGGATATCTATGTCAGAAATTTGGAGATGGTTACAGACTATAAATACAAATATATGACCCATCAGATTATCAATGGCATTTAAAGTCATGAGGCTGGTTGATTTCATTTTGGCCTTGAATATAAATAAAAAACAGAAAAGGTTTGAGCCAGTCTTTGGGCATTCTGATGTTTTAAGTCCAGTGAAATGAGAAGGAACCAGCAAAGTGGACTGATAAGGAATGGCTAGAAAGTTAGGAAGAAAAGTATGTAAATATAGTGTTCTGGAATCCAAGTGAAGTGTTTTTAATGTAGGGACAATGGTAAACTGTGTAATATGTTGCTGATATGTCAAGTAAGATGTGGCCTGAGAACTGACCATTGGATTTAGCCATGAGTTCAGTGGTGACCTAGATAGAAGTTTTTATTGATTGGTATGGGAGAAAGCTTGATTAGAATGGAGACGAGAGAATGGGAGAAGGAAATTTGAAATAGTGAATATAACACAAACATTTCAAGGAATTTTGCATTAAAGAGAAAGAAATGAAATGGAGCATTTTGGGGGATAGATTCAAGAGAGTTTTTCTATTTTATTTATTTATTTAAGATTTTATTTTTTAAAGTAACCTCTACACCCAATGTGGGACTTGAACTCACAACCCTGAGATCAAGAGTCACATGCTCTACCAACTGAGCCAGCCAGACACCCCAAGTTTTTCTCTTTTAATGGGAGAAAGAACAGCATATTTGTATGCTGATCTAGCAGAAAGATAAGTATTTATTACCATTATAATTACACAATTAGGTGTAATAATACAAATATAATGTAATTATATAAAGGAAACAGAGGAAAAGTTGCTGGATTGACTTTCTTGAGTGTACAAGTAGAGAAGTTGGCCAAGTTGGGAGCTTACACAGTTTAGTCATAATAACAGGAGAGAATATAGAGACCATGGAGAGATAAGCAGACAGGAGATATAGATGTGGTGGTTGAAGTTATTATCTGCTTGTTTCAATTTCCACAGTGAAAGAGGACACGTGGTCATTAGCTGACATTGAAAAGAGCAAAGGAGGTATTGGGGGTTTGAGAAGAGTGGAGAAATATAATTGTTCAAGAGCATGGGAGAGAGGACTAGGGAAATATAGTAAATATAATCACCCAGCAGCAAAGGAGCCTAGTTGAAGTTATTAATGATTTATTTCAAAATGAGACTATTTATTGTGTTTATATATTTTTCTCTAGCCATGTTCAACTACACAGGCATAGAAATAAAGTAGGTAGAATTAAATTTAACCAGAATTGTGATTAAACTGAATTTTCATGTGTAATACTGTGATTTATATTCTGTGTCTGACACAGAGCTCCTAAAACCCTTGGAATTTCTAAATGAGAGGGCAACACAGGTGTCTTTTATTATGTTAATGAGGTGACTTTTGGACCTCACCCAAGGATGGGGGCTGGTTGCCTGAGGAACCAACAATGTGATTAGAGGTTAGGACTTTTAGTCCCACTACTTCCCCACCACGGGGCAAGGAAGGGGTGGGGGCTGGAGATTGAATTCAATCACCAGTGGTCAATGATTTAGTCAATCATGCCTATGCAATTAATGAAGCCTCCATAAAAACTCAAAAGGGTTGGTGAATAGGTGGAGGTGCAGGGAGAGTAATGCTCCTGGAGAAGGCTTGGAAGCTCTGTGTTCTTTTTCCCTACTCACCTCTTCCATCTGGATGTTCATCTGTAAATTTTAATAATAAGCAGGCAAACGGTAAGTAAACAATTTCCATGAGTTCAGTGTGCCACTCTAGCAAATTAATTGAACCCAAGGAGGGGGTTGTGGGAACCCCAGATTTATAGCCAATGGGTCAGAAGCACAGGTGATAAACTAGACTTCCGACTGGTGTCTAAAGGAAGGAGAAAGGGCTGTTTTGTGGAACTGAGCCCTGAACCTGTGGGATCTGATAGTTATTTCCAGATAGTGTCAGAATCGAGTTAAATTGGACATCCAGCTGGCGTTGCAAAGAATTGCTTGCTATGAGGAAAAACCTCCACGCGTCTGGTGTCGGAAGTGTTGTGAGTGTGGAAGTAGCGTGAAACTAGAAGAGGTACACAGGACAAACACAGAAGGAGGAAGCACTGGGTTTTTCCCTAAACAGGAGCCAAGAATTGTAGCTTTTTCCATCCCAGCATGTAAAGTTGCTTTTGTAGAATCACCTGGGAGCTCGTTAAAAATGCAAATCCTCAGACTCCACCTCAGACCTACTGACTTGGAAACCCTTGGGGCGCGGCCCAATAATCTGTGTTGTAACAAACCCTCCAAGTGATTCTGATACAGACTAAAGGGATAACTACGGGGAATGGATAATCTTTCGGTGCTTTTCCATTCTCAGTGGAAAAATTCAATGATTTAGTGCACTTCAAATTTTCATATCATTGAATTTGTTGTCAAGAAAACCACAGTAGATTAATGTGAAAAGTTTCCTTAAAAAGGAGAAGTGGGCTTTTCTGTGTTGAGTGGCTTTTGATTGCTGATTCAATCTCCTTGTTAATTATAGATCTGTTCAGACTTATTTCTTCATGATTCGGTCTTGGTAGGTTGTATGTTTCTAGAAATTTATCCATTTCTTTTAGGTTGTTCAGTTTATATGCATAATTATTGTTCACAGTAGTAGTCTCTTATGATCTTCCAACTAGGCTTTCTCTCTTTTCCATGGTTATTTATAAAACACATCTGAACCTACCTTCATAGTTAACTCTTTTATGTAGCTCTTAAATACTTTTTTTAAAAAGAGCAGTTTTAGGGTTACAGAAAATTGAGTACAGAATTCCCATATGCTCCCTTTGTCCTTTATTATTAACATCTTGTATTAGTGTGGTACACTGTTACAACTGGTGAGCTAAAGTTTTGAAAGAACTGGAGAATAATGACAGAAAATTGGAGAAGACAGGTTCCCATTATGTATCTTTAAATGGTCAAGGAAAAGCTTTGCAAATATTAACTAACCAGATACCACATTATTAAGTTAAATCTCTACTTATTTTGTATTTTGCCATCATTTTCAGTCTATGTTTGTTAAGAACGGTAAAGGACTTTCCCATAATATTGAGAGATCTGTTAAATTAATTCCAGATCTGTTTATTTCTAGGCTTGTGACATAGAAAACCATATTTGTTAGACTATCTCTTAGAAAATTGTCTTCCACTTACAGTTGTAAACTTGTGTACACAGGAGTTAGATTTTCACCTTTAAACTTGTAAGGAATGCCTGGCACATATTAGGTGTCCAATATGGATAATAATTTATTGAGTTAAATAGTGGATTGACTTAGCGTTTAATAATACATTATGACCTCACTGATCTGGCTCTAATTCAATCACTGTAAGAGAATTGTGCATATTTCCTTAAAATTAGGAATGTAGTAAAAGATATTTTCTCATCATGGAGTATGTTTACAATTAAAGTGACCCTAAGAGATTAACTTTTAAAATACAATGCATTTTATGGGCTGAATTGTGTCCCCACCAAATTCATATGTTGAAGGCCTAAACCCTAGTACTATATTTAAGGTAGAGTTTATAAAGAGATGATTAAGTTAAAAGGAGGTTGTTAGAGTGGGCCAATCCAAACTGGTATCTAAGAAGAGATTAGGATACACAGGGAGACACCAGAGGTACATGCATACAGAAGGACAGCCATGGGAAGACATGGTAAGGGTGGCTATCTACAAGCCAAGGACAGATGCCTCAGAAGAAACTAGACCTGCTGACACCTTAATCTTGATCCTCTAGTCTCCAGAAGTATGAGAAGATCAGTTTCAGTTGTTTAACACACACACACACACACACACACACATTTATCTAAATTTGCCACACTAGTAGAGAGCTGACTATTCCACCTACAATAAGTAAAAATCTACAAGAATTTAGCACACCAGTTAACAAAATATAACTCTAACCTAGCATTCTATATATATGCATTCTTTTAAAATAAAATTCCTTATCCTATATATTAATAAAATTCTTTATTTTTTTACTTAAAAACTATCTGAAAAACATCATACACTGGAAATACAAAGTAAAAGTTATTGAGAAGAACAAATTTTAAAATATTCAAAGGAATTGCATGAGGAATCACACTCATCTCTTCTTTGCAAGGAAGGAAAGATAATTCAAGAGAATACAACATATGCTTTAGCAAAATACTTGTAACTTATGTTAAATTCTTTAGGCACTAGGATAAAAAAGAAAGAAATTGTGTGGCATGCCTTTGAAACAAGATGGGAAGGTTACCAAGGACTTTAGAAAGCTATGTCAAGTCAGACTGCTTTTAGATTAATTGTTCTGAGTTCTTCAGGGATGATTAAAAAACACTCATAGGCTCTGATCTGGCATGGAACTTTGGAGAAATAATTCAATTCATTAAATACTTTAACTTTTGCATTAAGGTTTTCCTTAGTGCTTTTCAGAAACCTTTTTCCCAAGGCATTGTTTAGGTGGGCAGTTCCACAGTTTCCTACCATAGAAATAATTATATTATTTTATCCTAAGGAATGGTAAGTTGCTGTATGACAAATGTTGGGATAGTATACAATTTATGAAATTTTCAATAGTTTCCAGTATACAGAATACTTACAAACTTTATTCCAGATCAATATAAATTAATGTTATACCTTATCTTATATCTAACTATTAAAAAGTAGCAATTGAGAAATAAAATTCCTTACCACTTGGCAATACCATGACTGGCTCTGTAAATCTTTGTTCATCTGCTGAAGGTAGGTTCAGGGAGATGATTAAAACCATTCCCAGACTAGTTCCAACAAACAAACAAGGGGAGACCATAGGGTCATTTTTCCGAGCAAAGGATTCCATGAAGTATAGTGCTGTAATTGCTTCTTTTGAATCTTTGTCAATACTGGAGATGCTAGAGCTTCTAGAACGATTATAGGAATTTTCTCGGCTTTCTATAGAAATTCAGAAAAACAAAAATTGTCAGTGTATTTCCATAACAAGTAAAGTCAGACTTAGTACATGAAAAACAAAATTATGAAGGGGAAGTAGAATTTGATTCCTTGTTAACTGATCTGGAAGACTGCTTGTCCAGTTCATCAGCTTATTTTGATAATGAAGAGATTGAAGTCCAGATATGTAAATCACAAACTTTGGCAGAGCTGGAACTAGAAGTTGAGTCTCCAGAGTTCCAGTTCACCAGGTTTTTCTCCCTACATTACCTCACAAATTAGTTGAAATTTTCTGGTCTGGAAAAAAAAATATTTAGTCTGAGTAGTCAAGGTTACAAGAATTTCTGGTACCATTTTAATTATGGTTTCCTTCTATCTCTCAATTGTTGAAAATAGTCCTAATGATTTCTTGGCAATTCCCACCTACTGACAACATTATGGCTACTTAACTGAAAGGTCACAAATGTTCTTGGTGAATACATTTCCCTAACTGACATAATTTTTGGTTTTGCTATATTTGGAGTAACTGCAGTTGTTATATTTACCAAGGCCAAAAAGAGCAAATGCTATATCCCTGAACTACTTTCAGGATACCAACTTGAATCCAAATCCAGTTCTAACTTTACCTAGAACCAAATAAGAAGCTGTAGACAGGACCATCTCGTTGTTAATAGTAATCTGAGAGGGCTTCAGCCCACCTAAAGGAAGTAGGATGGTTTCAAGTTTTCCTGCTCATCAACATTTACACATGTGCACACTCCAATAAGCATAAAAGAACCTCCCCCCCTCCGCCTCAGTTAAATACTACTGGAGTGTTTTGTTCTTATAATTGCTCCAGAGTTCAAGTTCCTTATATTCTTTTTTCTATTCCTTTCTTTCTTGATAGGTCAAGTGTGACTCATTTTTATAAAAAGAGACTAAATATAAATTCCTTAGACTCTTCTTTTTCTAAAAAGCAAAATATAGTATTCCTAATCCCCCTCTTCTATCCCTCAACAAGTTTGTAAAAATAATTATTTGTAATAGAATTTAGAGATGAGAGGGAGCTTGGATATGATCTACACAATTCTATAGATTTGGAGACAGAGACATAGAGTTAAGCAATTATCCCAGAATCCAGTAGAAGTTAGAGGCAGAAATGTCTAAAACTCAAAATTCTCAACTCAACCCATTGATTAAGAGTGCTACTTCTATAACCTTTACATTTTGCTTCTATTATAAAATTCCTAGCTAATATGCTTTTGAAGTTTTTCCATTCGTGGTTCATCAACATTCAAGTTTGTTACTCACACACCTGTGAGAGAAATAATCTCATCTACACATCCATGAACCAGATTTAGTATGGTATAATACTAAACTTTAAAATTTTTTGTAATTTAAAAAATTTTTTAAATTTAAATTTTTAAATACAGGTCATTACTAAAAAGTTTTTGAGGAGTGGTAAATGGGAATTACTTTATAGAATAGAATTACTATAGAAAATCTTCTAAGATTATTTTTTCCTATATCTTTCCCCAAAGTTCTTTGTCAGCAAGACTGTAGCAACTAAGTTACAAGATTCCTTTTTTTTCTCCCTCTCTAAAAATTTCTGGCCTTCTAGCTCTTATACTTTAATCCCTGTTCCAACACTCATTCCATAAACATGCAATTAATCCTTCCTTTTAAAAACATATGAAGATTGCAAACTTTAGAACTTAAGATTTTGCCTTTTTCTTGGTCATACTCACTTGACAGTTGAGGAAATGAGGGTTGCAAGACATTAAATAACTATCTACTGATAGAGACACTGAAAGGCTTACCATTGAGATGGATGGAAACTCTCAATTGCTGCTGGGAGTGTAGAGAACTGATTAAGGCATAGATCTCCCCTCGTACAGAGGAGGTGTCTGCCAATAAGCACAGACATTCTGGTTTTAGAGATGAAGAAGGAGGTATAGTGAGGAATGATTTGGAGTCATGGCCACAGCTTGACCAGCTCTCAGTCACTCATTGCCTAGAATTGACTGTAGTTTTAAAGTATCTTTTACACCAAGACCTACATCCCTTGTCCTCTAGCTCCCATTATCATGGCATATCAAATTTTAATTGTATCCACAAAAATTTGTATGTTTAACTTACCTTCTGTTGTGACTGGTAAAGAAATTTCCATGCAAGCAGCTGATTGTGCTTTCCGAAATGGTGGTCTTCCAGGACCCCAGCGATTTACTTTTGAAACATCAGCACTTGACAGACGTTTTCCAGAACTGCAACTCTGAGAGGTTGGACTTGTGCAGTGTCCATTTACATGATCTGTATCAAGAGGAAGAAGGCAGCATAAATATCATAATTAAATCTTCATATAAAGGAACCCAAATATGTAGATTAATGAAGAGTGAGAATTCCTTTTTTTTAAATCATAGAAAGATGGCTAAGCCCTTGCTATTTTAAGATTAGTCACATTTTCAGTAGTTAGCCAAAATTTCATAAGATTTTTATTACATATAAGTTCATTTTTAATATGTGGTTAATTAACATAGCTTAAAATTTATTCTATATCCCCATTAAGTATTATACCATTTAATGGCCATTACAAAATAGGTTATAGCATTTGACTTTCTTTTGCATAATTTAAATATACGCCTATTTATATAAGTTTTGGAAGTACCTCCAGTGCTTGGAGTTTAAAACATAGAATGGAAGCATCTACTGTGTAGTTGCAAATAGTACTTAAGAATATTGATTCTAGAGCCAGACTGCCTGGGCTCAAATCCCAATTCTACCATATACAAGTTGTACAAATTACTGAAGTCTTCATACTTTAGTTTCCTTTTCTATAAGTTGGGAAAATTATCTACCTCATGGAGTTTTTATGATAATTCATGTCACATGCCAGAACACTTCTTGGTATATGGTAAATTCTGAACAAAAATTATTACTGTCATTCTTGTTTCAGACTATTTAAACTGCTCATGTCTAAGGCAAATAGTGCTATTTATTTAGAGCTAGCTTATGAATTTATCACTGTTTTGATAGAACTTAAAAACTTGGAAATAATGCCACCAAAAATAGGTCTTTTTTAAATGCTAATATATAGGGCGCCTGGGTGGCTCGGATGGTTAAGCGTCTGCCTTTGGCGCAGGTCATGATCCCAGGGTCCTGGGATTGAGTCCCGCATGGGGCTCCTTGCTCAGCAGGGAGTC